ATGAAAAGGGGAAAAAATTGTATTTCAAATAAATTATAATAAATAAATTATTAATAGAAAAATAATGGAAACTTGATGAATTTCAAAACGAGGCTACAACAACAACTTGTTTTCAAATTCAAACAAAGATAAAGGAAATTATAGACACTATAGAAGACAACTGGCATAGTGAAAAGTAAGTGAATACTAGTATTTTTGAAGGTAGATTTGTATTTAACTTACTGCATTCAAAGTAAAATAACTGAAACATTATTAGTTACATTAGGAATATATATTTTCATTATATACAATAACATTGTATATGATTAACGTAGTCTGATTCGCCTTTAACTAACTCGTACTCTGGGATTCAAATGATATATAAACTGTATGGAATTCTGTCAAACTGTTTTTGTTTTATTTGTGTTGTTTTCATTTTATGCCAAGATTCCTACATTACCTTAATCTCTCTGCTTCTATTTATCAGATTAATAGATTACAATAGGTTTTTCACCACAACGTATTTGTTAACAAAGGAACACATGTCAATATTTGAGATTTAATCTAGTGATATTCAAATAGATCTACATGTAAAGGGGTCAAAGTAAAGATCTATCAATTCATATTGTCAAAGTAAATAACTTTTTGTCAATAATCATAGGAATTTTCTTGTATTTATAGACTGACACTAATGTTTGATGACAATTAGCTGATAGGAATATCTATATTTATAAACATGAAAAACAGTCGACAGAAAACACAATATGGACATAAAAGAATGATTTGGACATCAAAGGTAATATAGGGATTTTGATTTTGTTGTTGTCAAAATTAACTGTTTTTATATAAAAAGTAAAATAATTGCGGAAATGTCTTATTGAATTTGCACATTAAAATGTTACTGTTATGCCAATTACTTACATTTGAGAGTTTTACATCATCAATCGACATTTCATTTATGATATGCTAGGGTTATCTATGGGTAAAAATATATTAATTTAATTATTGATATAAGACCATTTTGGTTATTATGTACACCTATTTATTTCTGTTTCTTTTTTGCAGTTTCAAGAAAGAAAAAAAAACAAGTGGAACATCATAACAAGTTTTTGCATGTTAATTTGACAGTGTTTTCGTAGATGAAATTTAATAAGCAGGATCCAGTGGTGGACGTTTAGTATACCAGAATTATTCACATGGAGGAGTATATCTCCAAATTTAAGACTTTTAAGTTAGTTTTAGAACGATGAAGATAAAAAATTACTTACTTTATTTAAAAGTGAATATTTATTGCCTTGTATGTTACACTTAATTTTGACAGAAACGAATATTTTCCCACATTTATCCGATTTTATAACCGATGAAATCAACTGCAGAAGAAACGTTTATTTTCCACGATTTCCATTTTCCGTAAGTTCTTTAAACGAATTATTTTATGCAAAATTATTATTCAAAAACACATTATTCAAATTAACTATTTACCAGTCTATATCGGTTCAACTGGCTTTATTATATTACATATTGGTTATAATATTTTTCTTAATTTAAATATATAAATAATCTTTGACATAGCCTATATACTTATTTCATTCGGTATTTCTTTAAATTATAACACAATTGGCTATGGAAGTTCCAATCTTGTCTAGAATAGTAAGGCAAGGCATATTTCATATTAAGTTGAATGATTTTTAAAGTATGGTACTCATTTAATATTACCATTCGATATTGATATATCGATTTTTAATATTCAACAATCTATACAATATTATCAATGCACAACGTATGATATCTAAACTATAACAGTTAAACTTTAATGAATAATTGAATATGCTTCATTTTTTGCAGATGCAGCAGAATCAGCTAGATGCGTTCTTCTCAACTCTGTTGGGCGAAATTTGCTCTATTGATGTAAATAATGAGTCGAGTCCTGTGAAATATGTTGACAATGACGGGTCTTCTGCAAATTAATTTATAGTTTGTTTGGATAAACTGCATACATACTCACCAGATGTTGTAGACTTTATTGCGAGTCAGAAATGTCGCGTATTTAGTCAACTTAGGGATAGTTGTAAACATGATTTAAAAACAGGAAGTAATTTTATCTACCTGACAAACTCATCAGATATGAAGTATGTCGAACTTTATAGCAATGACCATTGGGAAATACCAAGAGTTAAGACATGTGTAAGGGTAAACAAAAACTTAATGGTAAATATCATTGTCCATGGCAAATCTTTGCCTGACAGTCATAGTATTTATGAAAAGATTGGAAGATGTTGTTATTCTGTCAAGTGTGTTCAGAAAGTACTTGATGTTGTTAGTCAATACCATATTTGTGAAGGAAACCAAGACTCTGATCTGCAAGACCTTATTCCAGTTGGAGCTTTTTTGATGTGTGGGAGGGATATAAATATCAAGGTCACCGTGAATGTTTTTACATCAAGTCAACAATAAGGTCAATAAAATGTGATTTTTTGTAAGAAAGAATGGAAGTCGATGTGTGTTAATTGTCAGAACAACAGTAGAACACTCCTCAAAACACTTCAATGTAGATCAAGTACCCCTAAAGTATCTACACCTCAGAAGGATTGGACCAAATGTAAGACCTCAAATAAAAACTTGACAAAAAATCAAAAACTACACAAAGTCAAGCAATTAAAAGACTACAGCCAGCAATTACAATTGGAAAATGCACAATTAAGACGAGAAATAACAAAAATAATAAAACGGAAGGTTTCTGCTTATCAGAATCTGTCAGAACTTATGGAAAGTTGTGAAAATGAAATGAAAAAAATCACCCAGATGAAACTTCTTACCAGCGTTTGTTTTGGGAGCATCAACTAAAGTGAAAGATAAACTGAACTGAATGATGAACTGAAAGATAAACATGGTACGCGCTGGCACCCATCAATCATCAAATGGTGCATTTATTTAAAATGAGTTCAACAACTTATGACAATTTAAGAAATTCTGGTTTTATTAAACTGCCCTCGGAAAGAACCCTGTTTGACTACACCAACGCAAATGCCAGAGGAATAGGATTTCTTGAAGGCAACATTGACATTAAAATTAAGTGATAAATTAAAACAGATAACAGTGATATGAAGTCTAAAATCACACACAAAAAACAAATACATTACAGGTAAGATCGGGCAATTTTAGGGTATAAAAATGCCTGTATCTATATTTAGGAAAAACTATTGGTTTTATTTGCTTTATAGCAAGTCCTTTGTTAAAAGACACAAAAAAGCCTGCCATGTAAATTTGAAAAATTAGCCCATTTACTGTGCAGCAGGCATTTAGCAGTCTATAAACAGGACTGAGTTAATGATACGATTTTGCTTAGAGGAAAAGCAATGCAAAACTTAAAAATCAATAAAATGTTTCAAGTTAAATTTCAAGGTGAGGTTTTTGCTGTTGTTCTACATATAATAAGATTGTGTAAAATTGTATATTTTGTTGTAATACTGGTTAAATTGCTTTTGTTACTGTAATTTTATAAATGTTAAAAAATGTTCCAAAATTACCAGTTATATAAACCGATATTAAATACATATATAAAAAACTAGTTTTTGCTCTTTTATTATTCTATAGATAGTCGAGTGTATTATGACAAGGTGATAGTACATAGTATGTCCACTTCATATATCAAATAATACTGGGCATCAGAAATTATTACATTGTGTTCTGCTATTTTAATAATTGGCTATTTTAATAATTCCCAATTTCTGTGAGTGAATGCTGAGGTAAAGTTGACCCTGGCCTAATACATGTATAAGTTATACCAAATAATATTTTTCTCATGGTCTTCCCTTGAACATCCTGCTTCCCATGCTTTGAACGAAGATGACCACGCATTCCTGAAATTGAAGCGTAAGACTTGTCACACTCGACAAACTGATACAATTTTTTAGATGTCTTTGTAACACTTATCTTTCCCTTATTCTTATTTCATTTAGATTTATGTTCCTGTTCTACCTCAAAATCACTATCACTAAAATTATATTCACTTTCAGTAAAATCCCCTAAAATTGCTTCAAGATCCTCAATAGCTGAGAACTTAAAATCATCTTTACAGTTTGCCATTCTGAACATCTTAAAGGTCGCATGTGAAAAATGTACGTAATAGAAACAAAAAGTAAAGTTTAAAACATTTATATGTCTCATTCCATTCTTAAGAAATATGTGTGTTTGGATTTTAATTGGATAACCAGTTTCAAATGGCAACACCTGAGAAAAAGTGTGAAAACTATCACAGTGGAACAATAAAAATGATGCACATTATTTATCATTATTAAACCAATTACTGAATCTGCAGCAAATATCAATTATGACAGTACTATTTTTCACATCAAAGGTTTATCTAAATAAATGAATAGGTGTTTGATGGGACAAATTGCCTTTGAAAAGGTTCTGATTGAATAATTGAGGATTAAATACTTTAATGAAAAGGGCCTTTTAAATGGAAAAAACAACAATGTAATCCAAAATGTTCTTTCAACTTTATTGCAATACTTTTATCACAACAAATGTTTAGGTCATTTTTTAGAGAAAAAAAATAATGATAGTTTTTTTTCTGCCGCGGTTTGAATATTACTTTAGCATACTTTTAATTTATTTAAAAAATAGTGTCTGACTTAGAAATATGCACGACAATTTGACCGATTGTACCGTGATTTGGGGCGTTAATTCGTAACGATGTTTTATCCGCATTTTATTTGAATACGCAAAAGAAATTTTAAAAATAAATATATATGCTACAGAATATACGATTTTTATGGAGATTATTTCACAATTCTCGGCCACAAATGAAGAAACAATAATATCTTGTTGCTATATGAAAAGATTTTGTGTGTGTAAGTCGCCATTCGGCTGGTAGTAAATGATGCGTTTTTAACTTGTTGCAATTCCGAAAATATTTAAGTTCTGTAAATAATCATTACACGGTTAAAAAGATCAAATTCTCAGCTTTCTTTTAAAAGATATTTTGCGAAATTCGGACCATAAATGACGAAAGTTTGATGTTATGGTTATGCCCAACTTGTATGGTAACATTATAGATAACCTGGCAGCCGGTCTTGTAGGTGGAGCGGGAGTCGTGCCCAGAGCAGGCTATAGTGATGATACTGCAATATTTGAACAGGTTTAAACTTATGTCTCTAATTTCCCCCTGCCTTTACAAGCATATCTAGGGCCCCCTAAAGGGGTCGGACATTTTTGGGAGATAGTTTTTTGTTATACATTTTATAATGGAAATTATACTGGTATGGTTTGTTGATGAGAAGCTTGGGGAATGTATATTATATTGTGAATATATTTGATCCAAACAATAAATTTTGCAGTAGATAAATAGCTTTATTCACTCAAATATTTCTTTATTTTTAAAATGTATTTTGATTATATCTTAGTCAGTTTTACTGTTGTTTTTAATTAATATTTGCAGTTTAATAGCTTTCTTCACTAGTAATGCATCCTGTATATGATTAATTATACCAGACACTTTGCAACATTTTGACATTGTCTCTATTGTGGTCATGCGATGCTGACATATTTTCCTGTTTATTGGTTATATATGTACCCTTAAGAAGGCTGTATAGCCAAAACTTTGGTATAGTAAATGGAAGTTGTAAACATTTGTAGGTGACTACTTATTTTTTACTATTTACTCTTTTATATCAATTTTCAAATTATTTGATATTTGCAGGGAGCCAGACATTCATTTGCAACAGCTGTAGGCAAGAACATAGCTAATCCAACAGCTGTGTTGTTTGCAGGCTGCAATATGTTACGACACTTATGTTTGGACTATCATGCCAAGCTCATTGAAGATGCTGTCCAGAAAGTAGTAAAAGCTGGAAAGGTATTAGTTAAAAGGATCTATTGATCAATTTCTTATATGCATTTTTATTAATTTTGTTTTCAAACCTGAAACATATATAGAGAATTTTCTTTAAATTAGTTTTCTTTTAAAAGAACATCAGATATATCATCTTAAATCTCTGAAGCTTAGAGTTCTAGAAAAATATTTTTTGTTAGAGAAAAAAGGGACTATTCCATGACTGTATGGTTAAGTTCCATATAGCATAAAAAACCTCTTGGATTTAAAATGGTGTGGACACTGCCAAGGTCATATGACTTTCCTGCTTAACCATTGATAAAGGATCTAGAAGCCATTTCATAATAAGTACTGACGGAATAGTAAACAATGCAGACTATGATTAGAGGGAAAGCTGATCGTTATCTGCTTTGGTTGAATGTGTAGAATCTGGTGCTGTCAGAATTAAGTTACCTGGATAGCTTTTTCATGATATTGTTAGAGGATTTAAACCCATTTTGGCAAGAGACAAGTTATTTGAAGTAAGCAACGTTAGCTACTAAGCCAAAGAGCAACTCTGGAATTTCCCTGTTAGGATGTTTTTGTTTTATAGCATGAGCATTAAGGTGAAGTATTTGTGTTTGTAGGTGAGGACACATGATATGGGAGGATATGCTACTACAGCAGAGTTCACCAACGCTGTAGTCAACTCCTTATAATTAAAGCATGAATCATCTAGTGACAAAAATCGTATAGTATAAGTGCTATCTTGTTGAGAGCAAAATAAAAATGAATTATTACAGAAGAGCTATTTTATGAACCAATGCGGTATTATATAATTGGGCGGGGGCAAACATTTGATATGGTAGGGATATTGATAGAAAAAATCAGACATAATCAAATGAGAAATATGATGTTTTTTTGTATATTTGAGAAAGAACTTTTTCACAATATAGTACAATGTAATAAATGCCTGTCACAAGCTATGAGACAGTATGTTTAGTAGAAGGCAAAGTACTTACATGTTTCTGATATTCTTTTAGGTAAGAAATACAGTGATTTTCTTTGAAGTATTGGTACATTATTTTTTAGAATATAGGTAAATTAGAGCATCATCTTTAATCATTCAAACCAACTGTGTACATGTTGTAATTGTGTTCAATATTTTATATTTATTAGTACACTGCCTGCTTAGCATCTTTATTGATGAATTGGTATTTTAAAAGGAACCGTAATTTTCATATAAGTATTTTTAAAAGGGAAGCTTTCTTTATAAATAAGTAATGTAAACAGAACTTTTATTGATATATAATGTGCTTTAAAGGGAAATTCTTTTGATAAATGAGTGTAGTAATGAGCTTTAAAGGGAAACCTTTAGTAATAAATGAGTGTTTTAAAACAGAACCACTGTTGAAATTTATTATTAAAATATTTTAAAGAGAACTTTAAGTAACTGTTAATTCCCTGTCACTGTGGATATTGAACCTTTTTATTCTATATCAATCAAGATGTTAATACACATTTTACTTTGATGAAAAATTCATAAGAAATTGTAATTTTAATTTTAGACCCAATTGTAATGACCATTTTCACCTGTTGTTATGTTAGGAGCTTTTTTTGGGGGGGGGGGGTTTATTGGCACTTGAATGTGTGAAGAATGATACCAACTTTACCATTTTTTCAACATGTTGCAATAATATCATATATGCTTCCTTTAGATCTGTATTTTTGTTAAGCATTGTTATTTATTATAGAAATAAAAAATGTTTTTAGTTACTTCTTCCTCCTTTTTCCAGTCATCTTAACTCCTAAATGAATCTACAAAGAAGAATTATTTCAAACCATGAAACATGTTATTTTTGACATGTTTGTCCATTTAAACGTCTGCTTTTCTGTCAAAACATTCATCTTTGTTTATCTTTGGCAAAAAACAAAGAAGTATATTGCATGAAGAACACATTGGTGAAAGCCAAAGGAGAATTTGCTGCAAAACATTCGTAAAGTTTCACTGTTTTTTTGTCACCCGCCTTTTCAAAGAAAAAAGGGGATATAGAAATAGGCTTCCTCTGTCCATCCATCACACTTATGTGTCCAGTCCATAACTTTGTCATTTATCAAAGGAATCTGAAATAATTTGGCACAAATGTTTGTTATAATATGACAATGTGTCATGCTGAACAACCAGATCCCTACCTCCAGGGTCAAGGTCGCACTTGCTCATTCAAGTTCAACATTGTCAATTTGAGGGTTTATGTCGTGTCCAGTCCATAACTTTCTTATCTTTAAAGGGATTTTGTAAATACTTGCCACAATTGTTCACAATAATGAAAAGAGGTGTTCTGCTCAACAACCTGTTACCAACCTCCAAGGTCACACTTGGTCAAATATCAATAACATAGTCTGTAATTGGGTATATTTTGTGTCCGGTCCATAACTTTTTCATAGATCAAAGGATTTAGTAAATACTTGCCAGAAGTAGTCACTATAATAAGACGATGTGTCAAGCGCAACATCTGCATCCCTCCCTTCAAGTCCACTTAGAGGTCAAAAATTAACATCCTACGTTTTAGGGTATAATTTTTGTCCGGTCTAGAACTTCTTCGGGATTTTGAAATAACTAGGCACAAATAGTCACAATAATAAGACGATATGTCAAGTACAACACCTGGTTGCACACCTACCTCCAAGGTCAAGGTCACACTTAGAGGTCAAAGGTTAACAGACTGTTATATGGTATATTTTGTGTCCCGTCCGTAATTTCTGCATAGATCAAGGGATTTTGAAAATAATGGGCACAAATAGTCACAATGATAAGATGATATGCCATGTACAACACCTTTGTCCCTTCCTCCAAGGTCAAGGTCATTCTTAGAGTTCAAAGATTTCCATACTAGTAGACTGTTACAGAGTATATTTTGTGTCCAGTCCATAAGTTTTTTATAGATCAAGGGATTTTAAAAATACTTTGCACAAATAATCACAATAATAAGACGATATGTCAGGCGCAAAACATGGGTCCCTACCTCCAAGGTCACACTTAGCGGTCAAAGATTAACATAGTCAGTTAAAGGGTTTATTTTGTGTCCGATCTATAACTTCATAGTTCAAGTGATTTTGAAAATACTTGGCACAAATAGTAACAATAATAAGACGATATGTCATGCACAACACCTGCACCCCTACCTCCAAGGTCAAGGTCACACTTAACATAATAGATTTTTAAATTCTGTGTTTCATTTTATTTCTTTTATAAATTTATTGTTGCATTTGCAGATCTAGCATTGATCATAATTTTGGACTGAGATCAATACCTAAGTTTTGAAATAGCACAATTTTGGGACGTTGGTAACGCTGGCTACAAATTCTTGTTTGTATGGGGGAGAAACGAAACAAAAAGGATTGTCTTCCAAAAACCAATAAGAACAACAATTACTTATATTAGAATATATACTGCTTATAGAATAAAAAATATGATTGGTAACTATTTGGGTAAACTTTTATTTTTTAGAAGAATTTCATATACAATATACTCGTTTGAGGAAAAGAAAACTGTAAAGATCTCGTAACCCATAAAATCATTACCTGATTTGGTGAATAGCATTTTTTGATAGTCCTCAAATTTGCTGAAATGTATTTGGTCAGTCCTGTCCTTGTTATTACTGAAACCAAAAAATACTTTTTTAAAGCACTATTGATGGATTATTACCAAATTTGGTTAGTCCCAAATCTGTGGCCACCAGAGCTATAATGGATTTTCATATGAAGAATATTTAAATAATAATAATAATGATGATGATACATATAATAATAATGATGATGATACAAATAATAATAATATAAATATATCTAATAATAATGATAATACAAAAAATAATAATAATAATGATAATAATAATAGTAATAATAATAATGATGATGATACAAATAATAATAATAATAATGATAATAATAATATATCTAATAATAATGATAATACAAATAATAATAATAATAGTATTAGTAATAATGATGATGATGATACAAATTAAAATAATAATAATAGTAATGATAATAATAATAATAATGATGATGATACAAATAATAATAATGATAATAATAGTAATAATAAAAATGATGATGATACAAATAATAATAATAATAATAATAATCAAATTGGTGATAATAATTATAGTAGAAGTAATAATAATGGCAATAACGATGATAGTAATCTTTCATTTCTTTCGCTGAATGTTTGTGGGTTGAAATCAAAGATAAAATGTCCTGAATTCACTGAAATGCTCGACCGATACGAAGTAATTAAATAAATGTCGAACCCTCTGGTTACAAACTTCATTTTAAAAACAGGAAATTTAGTAAACGTGCTTCAGACGGAATCGCTTCTAAATCAGTGGTACACAGAGGTACTAAGAGACATGTTTGTTCAGTGTTTTACGACATTATGCATCGAGTGAGCCAGATCTAGAGAACATTAGGTAATTGATGTTTGATGCATTGCGAGAATTTGAGGACTTCCCATACGATGTAAATTGCGAGCTTAAACGGAGAGTTTTTACTAATCAAATTTGCGAGAGATATACCCACATTCACTTCCATACATCAAGGTGAAGATTTTGTTTCACTTAAGGAGCTCATAAGTACGAGCAAACATGTATCAGTGTCTGCTCTAGAGTCGACACCAAGACGATTTAAAACCCGTCCACATCATCCCTCCATTGTAACGCTTAGACCTGCACGTGTTAACGCTGAATCGAATCGTAGATACGATTCGTGTCAGTGCGCGAACGCAATGGCCTTATTAAAGGACACCGTGTCTACATTGCAAGCTGGATTTCACCTGCTTAAAGGGTCATTACATGCTAGTGACAAATTAAGAACAGGGCAAATGCACTATGTTAAGGCATGTATGGATAGTAATAAAATCGATATCTTGCAATGCGGCCAAAGTGTACGAAAATGTATCTTGGAATTAGACGTTAAAGCTAAAGCGTGTGAACGTACAAAAGATATAGAGGAACGCCTAAAGAGCATTGATAATCGTGTATGTGGTCTTGGAGATTTTATAGACTCTAATGAGTTACTCTCTGTTTCTAAATTAAACATATGCAAAGAGAACCATAGTTCTAAAACAATAGATCCGGAGCCCTGTGGGCTACAGTCGTTTTGCGTTGAGACCATTGCAAGTACAACGGGAGTACAAAGCTCGCATCAACTGAATACCATTCATGCTAAATCTGTTGGAGGGTTGGCTACTACTACAGATGTTTCATCACACGCTACGTCTCATGAAGTCACTTCCGGTGTTCACAAATCCCCTTTTAACAGGAACCAAACTACACATGACACCAATTTCAAATCTGTTGAGTATAATAAACCGTGTGTTGGAGATGATATCGTTACATGTTTAAGTACAGATAAAAATTCTAATTTACTGTCAAGTGCTCCGGACTTTGACCCGCCGTCGTACGCGGATGTAGTTAATTTCGAACGACCAATGCCCAATGACACCGCGATACAAATAGTCGGGCACACAACCTTATGCACGGTAATTGACCGTACACAAAACCACTCAAGATCTGAGTCTGAGCCAAAACTCATAGTAGATGAGATAGAGGCTCCGAAGCCGATACCGACACGTATAACAGTTCAAAACGATATGCATTCAAACGGGTTTCAGACACACTAAATATTTCTGTTTAATTGGTTTTAAAAATACACTGGATATTGATAGACTAAGTGCTTTTGTATCCAACGGTTGATTTCATTTTTGTGATATAGAACCTGATTGTGGACCCAAAGTTTTCACGATTCGTACATTTCCCATGCTGAAAAGTCGTAATAAAGTGCTTTACCGGCTGAATATTGCAGCCAATGAATACTCTGATCTTGTAATGAAAAACGGTTTCTGGCCTTCACACGTGCGATGTATTCCATGGATGTCAAGGGACGCCCGCCGAAGATCAAGGAACATGAACGCGGACGCTTCTAGTTCGCAGATGAAAAACGACACTTCTAGGGCGTTTCGGTCGTCACAGTTGTCGGGAAAACAGTAACATAAATCGTTATCGCATTCTAAGTGATATTGACTAACTGTTATCCAATAAATTTCATTTCATATGGCTTCTATTTATATGTGTAACAAACTTTAAAATGGCTATCAACATAATGACTTCGAATGCAACGGGGTTAATGTCAAGTGTCTCATATCTCACCGGTATTCTTAAACATAGACATATTGACTTTTGTGGAGTTTCAGAGCACTGGTTAATGCCCCACAATTTACATTTTATTGATAGTATAAGCATGGATTATAATTATCATGCAGGTTATAATAGTGATGTAAATCCGAGATTACGATCTCGTAAATGAGGTGTTGCAATTTTATGGGACAAACGATTTGACAATATTGTAACACCTTTATGTATTGATGATGATAGGATCGCTGGTATCCAAGTGCAGATCTCAAATAACCAATATATGTTTATTTTTCATGTATATTTGCCATGCACTAACCATTCAAACTTTGCATTTTCAACTTACATTGATAAATTTTACGATTTGTATAACATCTATTCACAACACGGTGTGACTGTATTCAATGGCGATTATAATGCAC